AGAATGATATTTTTATGTTTGTCTGACAATATTTTAATTTTCTTTTGGTAATTTCTCCTTCAATAATATACCAAAGGGACTTGGATGCCTTTGCTACACTTTAACCATTTAAAATATTAAAATACAATTTAGTATCTGCTTTTCTTGCTGAAAATTAAGTGTGCTTTTATTAATGATGTGGGTTAGAATGTTGTGTTGATTATCTCTATGGATTTGAAGGACACTTGATATGAATCTGTTCTATCAAGAGTAGCTGGTCTTGGAAACTTAAATTGTAGTTATTGGAGATACATTCTTATGTTTATAGGACACTAGATATGATATGAACACTACTTTTTCTGTTGTGTAAACTGGGGACTTCGATGGGGGGTATGCTGTAGCAGGCATGCCTATGAAAAGATGAAACTCACTGGTTTTGTAATCCTGTTAGGTTTGGTAAAACTAACAATGATGATAAAAACTTTGTGTTTGTCTAGATGCCCAATGGCACAGTCGAGAGGATGTGAAGAAAGCACTGACGGTTGCTGAGTATGAGAAGGCACAGAAAACTGCAGCAGCTAAAGTAGACCAGATTTGCAAGGGAGTTGAGAAATTACAAAATTTTTCTGCTGATTTCAATGTGGATAGTGGGGAACTTGCTCCAATGTTCATACCTGGTCCCTTTGCAATTGCCCATCACCTTATCTCTACCTGGGCTCATGGAGATCCGTTGACTGGTGCTGGGGCTCAATTGAAGCAACTTAGTTCTTCTTCTATCTCAAATTTATGACAAATTTCGTACCTTCCCATCCAGAAGGCAGCTTCAGAATCTTTGAACCTATTTCTGTGTGTTTTCCATTCATTTAAGGGAAATGATTCTTATTCGATATCTCAAGCATGGTTAGGGATCCTAGAAGGGTCAGTTCATCCATCCTAGCACATAAATAATATTTCAAAGGGAAGGAAAGCAGCTCCCCTATTTTGTGTTAGGAGACTGCTTTGCAGAAAGCATGTCATCTTATGTACAAGGAATGATAGTGCATCGTCTACTGCTCGACTTACATTCTGTAGTACTGAGTAATTTCGTGGTTTCATATTGTTTTAGTGGTTAAAACATATTTTTAGCCTTTTATTTTATTTTAATAAATTTGTAGGTTTTAGCTTCTCATTTTATATTATTTTAATATTTTTAACCATTTATCTTAATAAGTTTATAATTTTAACCTTTCATCTTATATTATAACACTTTTAGTTCTTTATCTATACAAATTGAAGAAAATAACCTTTTTACTTAAAATAAGATTATAATGTTCTATTAGTTTTGTTAGTTGACTGTTAATTTTATTAGCTAACTGTTAGCATTTTGTTTGCATTTTGTTAATAGAACTAACAAATAAAATTGAATTTAAATTTCATGTTTTCTATAACATAATATTAAAGGATGCTAACAGTTAACGAACAAAGTTAATAGTGAATTAATTAACAAAATTAATAGAATGTTCTAATTTGATGTTAAATGAAAGTTATTTTTAGGTAAGAGCTTAAAAGTGTTATAATATAAGATGGGGGGTTAAAACTTACAAATTTATTAAGATAAAGCTTAAAAGTGTTATACTACAAGATAAAAGATTAAAATTTATAAATTTATTAAGGTAAAAGGTTAAAAGTAAGTTTTTGCCATTGTTTTAGCAATGTTTCAAGTTGATTGTATACGTTTCGAATGCAATTATGTTTAAGGGGCAGCTTATGTAGCATATGTTAATTATTTCTCTCTTTTCCATCGAGTGTAACAAATTTCAAATTTCTGTTTTCTAGTTTTTGGCATGGCCATCTGCGACAAGACCTTTATTTGCTAGACATCAAGCTTTCATAACATATTGCATGTCTAAGTCAGTGCAAGTTTGTAATCTAAATAAAAATTAATCAATTTCTATTTAAAAAATATAATTATTGCATGTCCTTGCTTATTTTACCTTAGCCAAATAAGGTAGTGGAGCGAAGGAAAAATGAAAAGTTAAGATAACACCTTGAGGTTCAGTTTGATTTATCATGAATAACGCTAATAACTAATGTTTAATTGTTGATAGTATCTAATTACAAAAATAAAAGTAAATAAATATACAAATAAGTACGAATAATTAGATATTTACTATCAATTATATAAACTGTTTAAATTAAAATGCCTAAACCAATTCAAATACAAACCAAAAATGGTATTAATGATGTAATTAAAATAACTATTATGGAAATGAAAACATCAACTTACCATGTGCTTTAAGATTGAGGCTTTTAGAGGTCATGATCTTATTGATCAAATAAAAAAGTTTTAAAATTATCAACAAAATCTTATTCCAATTTATTGCCAAAAAGACAAAATCTCAGTCCAGTTTACTAAAAGTACAAATAAATATAAATGACTCTATTAATACCTTTGCATCTTAAAGCCTAGTTAATTATGATTTGAAATTTTAAAAAAATAATTAATTTTAGTAAGGTCCTTTTAGGTTGACTTGATCGACCCCTAACCTAACTCAGTTTGGATCCAGGTGATTTTGGTTCTCGTCATATTGGATTCAAGGCCAATTCCTGGACTTAGGACCTGACTCATAACAGGTGAATTGGGTTAGATTTTTTTGTTCGAATCCAATTGTACTTAGTCTACACCTTTTATTATTCATTTAAAGTTACCACACTACTAGAAATTTGACTTTTTCAACTAATTATTTTCCAGTGCAAATTGCACTGGAAATTAATGTATTATTGGTGCTGAAAATTAAAGTTTAGTAGAAAATAATTTAGCACAATAATTTGGTTTGATACTTTCTTATTTTTCAGTGCAAAGCGTTGGGAAATAATGTTTTTTTTCTTTTTTTGCTGTTGATAGAAAAATTTTTCAAAAACAAAAAAATATATATATATTTTTTTTTACCTCTTTTTTCATTAAGCACAAAACACTGAAAAATGTTTAGAATTGTCAAAGTTAAGTGGTAAAAATGAGGTGCAGGTTATTTTTTGGAGCCAAGCATTGGAAAATAATCCTACCCAAATTGTACAGGTTATTAAGCGTTGGAAAATAAGATAGAAATGGGGTACAGGTTATTTTTCAGTGCTAAGTAGTGGAAAATAATCTTTCCCAAATTCTACATGTTATTTTCCAAAGCTTGGCACTGGAAAACACTCTTGTCCAATTAAGGTAATTGATTCAGGTTATTTTCTATGCTTGGCACTGGAAAATAATCCAGTCTAATTGAGTCAAGCTATTTTCTAATGCCAAGCGTTGGAAAATAAGTTTATTAAGAAATTTAGAAACCAAATATTTAAATATCTTTATTTTCAAAATATAAAATCCCACCTATATTTTTTTTTCAACGTTATGCGTTGGAAAATAATTTTATTTAAAGTTTAAAATCTAATGTTCAAGCACATTTTTTCCTCGTAAAATTTTCAAAATCTTACCCACATTATTTTTCAGCGTTGAGCCATGGAAAATAATACTTACCTATATAAACTTCCAACCTTCCCTTCTTTAGCATTTTCTTCCATCTTCTTCTTTCTTCTCTTTCATTTTTCTCATCCTTTATCCAAATTTAGTTTCATTTTTCTCTTCTCTTCCTTTACCCCACTCATATATTTCACTTT